GGGGAAGAGGAAGGGAAGGAGGGGTAGAACTGCACACCTTGCAGGCAGCCCTCACTGGCTGACTCCTCGCCGCCGTGCTGCTCAACGTCGTGCAGCCAGACCCACTCAACGCAGCTGTGCTGGCGTCGATGCCGACGTAGACGCCGGCGTGAAATCTGGCGTGGTGCTCGTGGTACCCGCCGTGCTGCTCACGGCGCGCGCTTCGACGCAGGACGGCGAGCGTTACGACAGGGCGAAGGCGGAAATCGTGACCCGTGCAGGCTGGTATTCCGTGACATCACGAAACCCGCAGTGCGACGCGCGTCATATCAACGGTCGTGGCATGTCTGATTGAAAGTAATCCGCAAGTTGTGCGCAATGTAGGTGGTGAACGCGTAGGCGCCAGCGTAGGCGCAGGCGTTGATTGCGGGGACGGTGGTGGCGTCGGCGCGAGCGAAGGCGCCGACGTAGGTGCTGGCGTCGGTGCTGGCGTCTGTGCCGATGCAGGCACAGGCGTTGGTGCCAGCGTAGGCGCATGCGTTGGTGCTGGCGTCGGTAATGGCGTCGGCGCTGACCGGCGTAGTCGCGGGCGTTGATGCTGGCGACGGTGCTGGCGTCGGCGCTGGCGTAGGCGCCGGCGTAGGTGATGCCGTCGGTGCTGGCGTCGATGTTGGTGTCGGCGCCAGCGTTGGCTCCGACTGAAACACCAAAGTTAGAAAGATAGTGCTGGTGTCGGTGCTGGCGTGGGCGCTGCTGTAGGCGCAAGCGTTGATGCTAGCGTCGGTGCTGGCGTAGGCGCTGGCGCTGGTGCCAGTGTAGGCGTTGGCGTTGGTGCTGGCGTAGGTGCCGGTGTTGGTGCTGGCGTCGGTGCGTTGATACTAGCGTCGGCACTGGCGTAGGCGCCGGCGCTGGCGTCGGTGTAGGTGCTGGCGTTGGTGCTGGTGCAGGTGCCTGTGTTGGTGCTGGTGTCGGTGCTGGCGTCGGCGCTGGTGTAGGCGCCGGCGTTAATGCTACCGTCGGTGCTGGCGTTTGCGCTGGCGCTGGTGCCAGTGTAAGCGCTGGCGTTGGTCATGCGATGCTCATGTGGCTGCTCACCATCGGCGGCGACACTACGCACGTCGCACGACTCTGCGCGTGGCGCCAGCCATCTTCGAGGACAGAAGGAGGAGGAGGAAAAGGAGGAGGAGGAGAGGGAGGCCTCCCTCCTGAGGAGGGAGGAGGGGAAAGAGGAGGAGGAGGAGGAAAAGAAGGGGGGGAGGCGGAGGAGGAGGAGGGAACATCGGGGGAGGGAGAGGAGGAGGGGGAGGAGTGGGAGGGGGAGGAGGGGGAGGAGGGGCAGGAGGGGGAGGAGGAGGAGGAGGAGGAGGAGGAGGAGGAGGAGGAGGAGGAGGAGGAGGAGGAGGAGGAGGAGGAGGAGGAGAGGAGTATAGGAATAGGAATGGGACTAGGAACCAGCGGCGAAGCCAATACGGATCGACCACTCTACCCTCGGCCTCGCTGGGCCTTCTTGGCCTTGCTGAGAACCTTAGAAGCAATGCGTGACCGAGTTCAATCACAATAACTTTTGCCTGTCGGGGACAACCGGTGGGCGCACACTTTGCCTAACGAACGCAGATACTTGTCGGCAACTGCGCCACACTTCTCACGGAACCAGGTCCTCAAACTCACATGTACATTCAACAGATGGGAAAAGTGACGCCAGCCCCCCACCACGTGCTCGGCCAAATCCTTGAAACGGGGAAATATGGCACCGTCGACGCTGACCAAACGCGGAGAACATTAACCCCAAAACTATTACACCGTAGCTTGGGATTTCAAACGCGGTTTATTGTCCTCTAATAAGACAGGTCCACACACGAGAAGGCAGCAAAAGCAGGAGGCGGAGGAGGCAGGGAGGAAGGAAATTGATTTGCCTCTGGGACTCAAGCTGCTTATCTCTGGCGGAGACATCGAGCGTCGCCCGCAGCAGACGGAGTCGCACCAAACGCGCCCTCCTCTCGTAAATCTGAACCCTATAACGATCAAATTCGGGGATGCGGTGCTGATTGGCTGCGAGCCCGGCCAGTTCATCAGCCACCAAATTCGATTACGCGACGCCCTGCCGTCAAGGATGTCGGCAGGCCCACAGTGCGAGTGAGTGGGGAATAACAAAAAGATGATCGTGGCATCGGTAATGCAGCTTTCCGGCCTCGTCCCACGTATCGGCGTCTTCGCCCGACTGCGGGGTTATTGTGCAACTGTTGGTACCAACCTCAGACCACATAATCGCAATCGGTGGCATAACATCGCCAGTCTTGCGACATCCAGATTGCAAGCAAAAAAACTTGCAACTGCCCCGTGGTAACCAGTTGACGTTTACCCACCAGTGGCCCGTAAACGCACCTTTCAATGCGTACCCAAGGGACCAATGGGGGGACAAACGGCAATGGCAAC